TGATCCCACTCTTGTGCCCTCGCCATATACAATCAGTTCTCCCCCACTTGGGGTTCGAACTACTACTCGCTGCCCCTCACAGTCGATCATGGCACCGAATCGACTGAGCCAATCCATGCCTACAATCACGCATACCTCCCCCATGGGAATCGGAATCAAATCTATCGGAAATGACACCCCGAAAATCTCCAAGTCACACCCTCGATAAACTGAAGAAGCAGAAACCCCGTGTTCGTTGGCGATAGACACTCGCAACGGACACTCTAACTCGCCCACTGGCGCACTGAACTCCCTACTAAATGTCTGAGATACGAAGGACCGACTCGCCCCCGAGTCAAATAAGACCAAAGCAGGCAAGGAGTTCACTAAAAACGTACCTAACCACAGGTGCAACAGATAAGCATACAACAGATATAGGAAAACGAGATAAGGATAGAAACATACCAGCAACCACATCTGGTGCTGCTCTGGCCTCCTCCGCTGTAAGCTGGAAGGCACGACCCTGAGCCTTTGGAGGCTCTGCCCTGACTGGTCTCCCATCCGTGATCCTCAAAGTAGCCGGCGCTGGAGCCTGCGCCGGTTTGGCGGCGAGTAACGGGCAGTTGGCCTTCAAATGGCCAACCTGATCACAATGGTAACATAACCTCATACTCTGAACTGGAGCGGCCTGGCGACAGTCTTTCGCGTAATGCCCCTCCTTGCCACACTTGTGGCATCCACTACCAGCTCGACACACACCAGAATGACCCTTGCCACACTTCCCACATGTGCGGCTCTGCTGACCCCCGGTCCTAGTATCAGCGGTCTTAGACCGCTTCGGCGCCGGCTGAGAATGTGCCGGGGCCTGCCGCTGTTCTCTCAACTGCTGCTCAATCTCCAACTCACGCCGTCTGGCGGCCTCCTGCAACTCTAGAAGAGTATCACATCGCTGGGTAGACACAAACTGACGGATATCCGTCTTGAGCATGCTCAGATAACGGGTCATCTGGGCCTGCTCTGAAGCAAACTCCGGGCAAAACATCGCCCTCTCAGTGAACATCCGGGTGATCTCCGTCACCGACTCCCCATCCTGTCTCAAACTCAAAAACTCATGTGCCAATCGCTCCCGCTCAACCCGTGGAATGTAACGGGCGCGGAACATATCCCTGAACTGCTCCCAAGTAACAGCAGCTCTCTGATCATCAGAGTACGACCCAGTCGCAAGTCTCCACCAGTCCTTGGCCCCAGACCTAAGCAGGTTCAGAGCACACCTGACCTTCTGGTCAGCAGGACACGAGCAGGTGAAGAAACACCCCTCCACATCTGAAATCCACCTCATAGCCTTGATGGGATCCTGCGTCCCATCAAAAGTAGGGGGCTTCGTGTTATCGAAGTCCCTGTACTGAAAACCTCTACCAACTCCTCCTCTCGTCGCTGATACAGCTGATGCAGCTGCTGCGGCGGCTGTCTCTGCAAGGGCTGCATAACGCTCATCAAAATACTCCACCATGGCGGTCTTGATCGACCCGAACATCTCCGGTAACTGAGCCCGGAATGCAGCAGCAACCTCATCATGCAGGATCTCTCGAATCCTGGCATCCAACTCCTCTGTACCCATCTGCACCACTGGCTCAGGTGCTGTCGGCCCCTCCTGGCCTCTGTCCCCTGATCCTGATCCCGAACCGGATCCAGCCACGAAGCGCCTCGTCATCACCATTCTGAAACATATCACCAGTTATCAGATAATTCATATAAATCACTGGGAGCCAACTCCCTACTAACCCTAGGGATTGCGACTTACTTGACACGCGTATAGGTCCTGTGCTTTCAGTAGCATGGGCCCCTACTACCTTCCACACCTACCCATATTTGCCCCAAGTATCACCACAACACCCTAACAATATGCACAACATGGCGAGCGCTCAATCCTCACTCCTAGAGGAATGCTAAATATCTTATAACTGACCTCCCGGTCTCACTCAATCCCTCCTATCCATGAAACTTCCACCAACCCTGCAGCACTAATGTATGCTAGCCATGCATAACGCTGGACCCTATAGACTTTAGAATATCCAATCCTACCCCAAGCCCCCAATCAAACAAGAACAGAACATAAGGCCAAATCAAACATTCTCAGGCTATAAGATCTTAATTATGTACAACTGGGATGCATACATTAGACAACTACAGTAATGATGTCAATCTCACATAAAGGAAACCCTAGGCTAGCAGGCATCATGTATTCAGGCAATTCTATCATGCAATTCCTGAAGATCCCTAGCCTAGCACTAACATGCTGTTCTATCATATCGTATAATCAAATAACTTGTATGGTATTTTGGGGTCTACTTACTGGCTCCGGCTGATCGTACGCCCTGCATCCTCCTTTATTTATTTTGAAAACCTTTTTGAAAAATCATTTTGAAAATCCTTTCCTTGATTTGAGACTGGAGTCACACGAGTGTTCCTCCAATTCACTCAAACCAAGGCTCTGATACCAACTTGTAACACCCAAAAATTCAAGCCAAATTTAAACTTTCAAAACATGTCGAATTTATCAAAACATTACAACTTTGTTTTCAAAATACATTTATATCAGAGTTTTCCCAGAAACATAACATAATAGGAGGAGCTGTACGATCATGCCTTCGCCTTGCCGCGATCCCCTGATGTACCTGAAACAATAAACTGAAACTGTAAGCCCGAAAGCTTAGTGAGTTACCCCCAAAATACCGATACACATACAGTCCACATAACCATGTCACACCATGACATATCATAACAAACTGAGCAGAACAGCACATAACGGGTCCACAGCTTTACAGACTGGAATACCCCTGGGCCCACAGTGTGAGTCTGGAATGCCTACCGGGCCCTCAGCTCACATCTGGATTGCCACCGAGCCCTCAGTACGAGTCTGGAATGCCTACCGGGCCCTCAGCTCGTATCTGGAATGCCACCGAGCCCTCAGTACGAGTCTGGAATGCCTACCGAGCCCTCAGCTCGTATCTGGAATGCTCCCAAGTCCTCAGTATGAGTCTGGAATGCCTATTGGGCCCTCAGCTCATATCTGGAATACTCTAGGGTTTGTTGGCTACCGCACGGAGCAGTACAACCTCAACCCATCCCACATAACATATCAACATGTAACAGATAATGCACATACAGACAATCAATCAGTATCACAGGTAGTCCTACAGACCTACCCTCTAGCGTATCAAACTAGCATGCATAACTAACTCATACTCAACATAATACAACTACTAGGATATCATATCCAATGGGCCGGCCTTGGTGCCTTAGACCCCTTAGTATAGTGAGGATAACTCACCTCGCAACTGTCGTCGGAAATAAGAAGGCTCAACTCTTGGGTCCAACACGAACTCCACCACCTATAGGTACCATACAAACCTTTTTCATAAATCTCCCAATTACCAGAAACCATCAGAAGTCAACTGGTCAACTCTTGGTCCAAGTCAAAGTCCACAGTCAAAGTCAACAGTCTATGTTGACTCGACTCGTCGAGTGCAGATCACCGACTCGTCGAGTCCTTCCTGAACTCGAGAAGTCGTGAAATCCTTGATTGGCTCGTCGAGTTCCCTTTTTAACTCGTCGAGTTCATACGTGGCCATGATTTGGAAGAAATCCTAGCCAACTCGCTGAGTCTTCTAACAACTCGCCGAGTTCAAGGCAATCTTCAACGAACTCGCCGAGTTGCTCAACCAACTCGCCGAGTCCAGCGTTCTACTCGCCGAGTTCATTCAGTCCTTTTTCCATACAGACCTGGTTTGAGCCATGCAGCGGCTCCAAACCACAGATCTAGGCTTCTAGGGCATGCTTATCACGTAAAGTTGCAAACTTTACATGCATGCATAGCTTTAAGGGCTCCAAATGTCAAAACTAAGCTCTTAATGGGATTCTAAGCTCAAGAGGGACCTCAATCACTAACATAACTGAGACTTTACAACTCTATAAGGTAATGAGGGTCCAGATCTGAAGTATAGTCCAACCATAAGGTTTCTCTACCAAGGATTTGGGGTTTTAGGGCTTAAAAGCAACAATTTAGGGACAAACAAGATCTAATAGATCAATAATCAAGATGGAAACTTTATTACCAGAATGGGTGACCACAAATGAATGTGTTCTGGATCTAAGTCCCCTTCCTTGAGCTCTTCAACCCCTTCCTTCTTCCACTTGCTCCAATGTGCACCAAAAGTCCCTTCACAAGGCAACAATCACTCAAACTCACCAATGGAGACTAGGGTTTAGATAAGGAATGCTCTGAGGGTGATGGAGGCTGAGATGGGGCTATAAGGACGTTTAAATAGGGTGCAAACCCTAAGGATTAGGGTTTCCTCCTGACTGGCCTACTCGCCGAGTCCAGGCGTGGACTCGCCGAGTAGATCACTTAAAGCCTGCGTCCAATTCGACATCTACTCGGCGAGTTAGGGCTACAACTCGCCGAGTAGCTCTTACAAAAATAAACATTTAATCAAATTAAATATGTACCAGGAACGGGGGGTTACACTAACTTAACATAATGTATACATGAAGTTTGTTTGCTAGTTCTATAAAGGTTGCACATAAACTCAAATTGTAAAGATCTTATAGCCTTCTATCATCACTTTTACTTGTAGATAAGTAAAATATATAACATTGTATGCACATAGAAAGCAAAATGTGGCCAATATATAACATTGTATGCACTTAGAAAGCAAAAAAGCAAAATGTGGCCTTATACCCTGTTTTCACATATTTAACATTTAGACATTTAAGATTTATGCAGCATTATGGTGCATAAACAAATGCATATACATATCATGGTTTATTGAAAAAAAAAATCTGTCACTGTGGTAGTTAACAGGAAAAAGAAATCAATATACTAACCTCAAAATCGGTATTAGAGATTGGTTAATCACTGGAAATCCTTTTCTATGGAGCACTTGAACCTTTTGCTGGCCAATAGATAAATGGGGCTTAGATTTAGGGCTCCAAATTATTACAAATCAAGCACCAAGTTATTACAAATTAAGAAGCAATGAAGGACCAAAACACTTACCTTTATGGTGGACGATGAACTCGAGTGCTGGAAACACCCTGCGATCGCCGACGACCTTGAGAGAAAAATGGATTTGGTCTCGACTGCAAACAGAAAGCTGAAAGGGGTTTTTGTTACAGGGAAACACTATACAGACGACATGTCGTCTGTATAGGTACCCCAATACGTCGTCGTTTCGCTTCACGTGATTAATAAATAAAAGAAAATTAAAAAAGGATTTCACGCGGATCGGTCCCACCTTTCCAGACGACATGTCGTCTCTATAGCATAAGAAACGACATCGTTTTCCAGTTTCTGTAACAAGGATAATAAATAAATCGAAATTAATTTTAAATCACCCTATACCGACGACATGTCGTCGGCATAGGATGACAAAAACGGTGGCGTTTTGACTTCCTGCTACAAAGAATTAAAATAAATCGAAATTATTATTTTAGACACTTTTCCAGACGACATTTCGTTTGTAAATATTTTCGATACACCGCCAACAATTTCATGTTTCCCGCCGAGTTTATACAGACAACTTGTCATCTCTATGGCTCTTCTGGTCAAAGGAAGGGAGTCAACGTTTGAAATCCCTGTACGGACGACATGTCGTCTGTATAGGTCGACTTTTGCCGACGACATGTGTCGTCTGGATAGGAGTCGTCTGCATAGCACAAGATTCTTGTAGTGTATGAGAAAAATTGAGGTACCTCAGATGCTTAAGACTGCCAATGGATTGTGGTACCTTTGTGATTACATATTTAGATAAGCTTAACACCCTTAAGAATGATGGTTTAGAAAGTAATTTATCGATTACTTTGTCTGATGGGTAACTATGCTCTCGAAATGACAACAATAAGAATGTCCGCAAGCATCTGGCTCTTTGTAATTCGTTGAGCTTTCTATATGATCTTCCTCCCGAACCTATAAGTGAAAAGTGACGAAACTTCTCAAAAGTTTCATTCATCCCGGATACATCCATGTTATCATCTAATCTAAAGAAAAATTCTCCTGCGACACTTGTGGTCAAGTCGTTTACAAGGTCATGCATTGCATAACCTAATTTGTCAATTGTTGAATGCTGAAAAAACAACCTTGACTTTAGTTCTTCAAAATACTGATGACCCAAACTCTCCTTTGACTTGTTCCCTTTTGATCCAGACAAAAATCCTTCTGCCATCCATAGCAGGACTAAATCATTCTTTCTAAAAACATAGTCTTTGGGAAATAATGAGCAGTATGCAAACAATAGCTTCAAATGTGAAGGGAGATGATAGTAGCTAAGTCTTAGAGCTGGAAGAATCTCACTTCCATCATGTATATCCCATATCTCACTATTCAACAGCTTTCCCCATTCATCACCATTTCCTACTTGTCTTCAAGACTCTCCCAAGTGATTTCAAAGCCAAAGGCAATCTACCGCATTTTCTCACGATACCCTCACCATGTAATCTAAGGCGTGTATGTTTCTCAAAGTTTTTCTCACCAAGGGCATGTTGGGCAAGTAAAGATAGAGCATCTTCATTTGACAAAAGCCCAAGATCGTAACTTTCATCAGAATCCATCACCGATGCAACCCCGGTATTCCTTGCTGTGACCATAATTTTACTCCCATGTCCCCCTTGAAGAGGGCTTTGGAGGAGCTCCCACTTACTATGGTCTTCGTTCCAAACATCGTCTAGAACAACAAGGAACCTTTTCTTATTGATTTCTTTTTTGAGGGCCACATGAAGGTCATTAAGAGTAGAAAAGCTTTTGTTCTCCCCACCTACACCATCAAAAATAGCCTTGCAGATATTAAACACATTGAATTCTTCTGAAACACAAACCCATGCCATGAGTTCAAAATGCTCTATCACTTTCTCCTCGTTGTACAAAACTTTCGCAAGAGTGGTTTTTCCTATCCCACCCATACCAACTATGGATACTATCTTTACATTTTCATTATTATCCAACAACTTCCCCATCAATACCTCTTTATCGCCTTCCCTACCTATGATTTTGGACTCATCAACCAATGACGTTTGCTCCAAACGTTTTTCATTTGACCTTTCAAGATTTGAATTCACATTCAAACCCAGACCGATTTTCACCTCAACAAGATCAAGTAATCTGGTTGTAATCTCATCCAGCTTAGAGCTCATCTCACGACCATACATAAAGTTGGGAGGACCAAAATTAGTATAACAATTTGCAAAGAACTTCAATACCTTATTAGTGTTGGTGCTATCACGAAATTCTTGATTCAACTTGCGTAACCCAACATCAGTTGCCAAATCATCGAGTACATCGTCTATGTCATAGGCTAAATCTTGGAGATCATTCAGCCACAATTGAACAGCTCTCTCTTTTATCTGCTTATGGCCTGCATCAGTAAGGACAGCTTGGATTATGAGCAAGGTTTTCTTCCATTTCTTAAGCTTAGAATCGATTCCTTCAGATTGAGCCAGCTTCATCAAGTCACCAGAGAGCAGCTTCTCCAACAGCACTGTGATGACAGCACTAACAACGATTTCAGCCATTTAGATCTGGAAATGGAAAAGGACAAATTGTTTAGAGATTTCAGAGGAATGCAAGGATGGAAATTTGCAGATGGAGGAGCAAAACGGATAGACTGAATGCAGTGTGAATCTGAAATCTCATAGCATTGATCCTTGTACAACTTTTCTCACTAATTACACTTTTCAAAATATTTGGAATCTCATCTCACCAACCATTAACCATTTTATATTATTGATTAAAGTTATAATGAGGGTTAATGCTATGAGATTTCAGATTATTTTATATAAAAGTTGTTTTTGTGTTTCATGTTTACTCGGTTGAGCATGTTTATATACAATTTCCATGTGCACACATGTGTTTCGATTACAAAATCCGATTTTCAGAATTTATGTTTTGATGTTTGTTTCAGCATTTAATTACTTCCAAATAAATTTTAATCTCATTACTGTTTATCCTTGCTCTACGTGTAGGTAACCCATGTGTTTCTTTTGTATAATCCAAGTTCACCTGCAGCTTTTTGTTTTATTGTTTCACCTTTACTCGATTTCAATGAAATTTTATATCTAAGTTGGATGGACCAATAAGTTTCTTGTTTTCACATTCAATATATAAATAATATTATAAAACCCATCAATATGACAACGGTTTTAAGGAATCTAACACCCTCGCCAACATAAAATAATATACAAATAAGGCAAATTCGGAAAAAAAAAAAAAAGGAAAATGGCTTAAGAGGGTAATATTTATTCTTCACATTTACAAAACTTGTTTTGATGTATACGATTGATCAACAAACTTGTTAAAAGTGTTTTGACCGGCTATCATAGCGTACAACTTACTTCACGTATGCATGGCATATACATGACAAATTAAAAGAGAAATAGCATAGGAGGGTCATTATCTATCTGTTTTGTTTATAATTAGGCAACTTTTTATTTTTTTTACAGGGTTGATTATTCACTCTTGTTAAAAGTGTTCAATGGAATTTACGATGAACAATGAGTTTTTTTATTTTGAAAAACGAATTATTACCGATTATTATAAATCTAATAAAAGAAAAAATTCATATATATATATATATATATATATATATATATATATATATATATATATATATATATATATATATCCATTTGCTTATTTCGATACTCATTTTTATTTAATTTCAAATGCTTATAACGATGAATACATCCAATAGCCAAAATATGCTTTGTGCTGATGTATACCATCTATTATTTGTCAAAATATGTAGTATTCGTGTATTGTACAAGTATAACATCTTTGAGATAAAAAAGACTTTGAAGGCATATAGAATTTGGTATAAATCATTATCATGTTGCATTCATTCATACACTATATAGGTGAACTGACTACATACTTGTATATATGCAATTATTTTCTCCGTAAAGATGTATAGATATAAATGATCTATATATGGTTTACGATGGAAAAATGTTATATCTTTTTGATGCTCATTTATATATGATTTTATGATGTCTAACCCCAATCATTTAAAACATTGTTATTAAATTTATATAAACTAGATTTGTTATTGAACAACATGGAATCGAAGTAAACATCGATTAATTTAATAGACTTGTCAAAACTAATTAACTAAACTAGGAAACTTAAATAAGGAAACTAAATAGGGAAGTACTTAAGATAATTATAAGTTATGAATAAGGCAATGTGTAGTTAAGCATGCATCTCAACACTCTTATTCAAGTCGGACTATTAAGACCATGACGCCCATTTGTCACGTAAAACAGAAACCTCTGCGCGCTCTACGAGCCTTAGTTAAAATATTTATCTTTGATGTTCGATTTAAATAGTTTAAGAGCTTTAATTCATTCATAGACAAAGTAACAAGTCATGTCAATAAGTTTTGTTGTTTCATGATAAACTACATTTGTTGCAATATGAATTGCAACTTTGTTACCACATATAAATGGTGTTTCCTTCACTTTTTTTGTATCTAAATCCTAAAGTAACCACCTTAAGACGTATTTTTTTTCAATGGAGAATTCAGTTGGTCGACTTGCTTAAACCTTGTTATCCTCGATTATGTCCATAGTGTATTTTCGTTGAGTATATAATGAGAAAACCTTTTACCGAACATGCCACTTCGATCCCCAAGAAATATTTCAATGGACCCAAGTCTTTTATATGATCAAACATGCATTTAACATGTGTGGATGTTTTCATTTTTCTTGTTATCATTACCCATTAGCAAAATGGCATCCACACATATAAGTGCAACAACTTGAATAAGATCCATTCGAAATACAAACATCTAGTGATCAGTCTTACAGTGTTCATAGATTATTTCAATAAGAACCTAGTTGAAGCTTTAATATTAATTTCTTGATGCTTGTTTGAAGCTATATCGATTTTGGTAACTTGCAAGATTATTTTCAGTCTCTCTAATGAGACCTTTTGAGGAATTTTAATATACACTTCTTCGTTTAGTTCTCTGTATAAGAAGGCATTATTGAAACCTTCAACTTGTATGTAACCTTTTGCTACTAAGTCATCCTTGTACCGTTCCACTTCTCCATTTGGTTTCTATTTGTATTTATACGCCTATTTATTTAAATTATATTTATTTCTTTCCTAGGGAAGGTTCATTATGGTTTATGTTTCATTTTCTTCTAGAGCTTAGATTTCCTTACTCACGACTTCTATCCATTTTGGATTCTATGCTACTTCAACCAAGTTTCTAGGCTCATCAAGTGACGCGATTGCTGCTAAGAATATATGATGAGTTTTGAGAATTTGCTATAGGCGGCGAATCTAGAAAAAAGGTGAAACGTGGAAGAATATGAGGCAAGGCATGTGACGACTATGTATTCTCCAATAAAGGCAACAAATTAGTTAAGAATTCATGAATGTATTTCTATTGGAATTTAGAGTAATTTGAAGAATAACATTGGTTTCATGTTGTGAAAGACATATGTAATTACTTTGTTGAATCATAAGTTCAGAAAGATCAAACCATTTTATGTTAGTCTCTTATATTTTTCTTACATTATCTACATTATCTTCGCTACTAATCTGAACTATGGTCATGTGGCTTGTTTCTATTTCGTGCATTTGATTTTGTTGGGTTCTCATATTTTTCAAAAGATATAGTATATGCTTTTTATTTCTTTTTTGATGGAGCTCACAGACCATCCACATACCATCACATTTCACTGCCTTAAATTCATCACATTGTTGGATCGTTCTTCAGGCATGGGAAAGAAACAGTCAACAAACCTAATTTTATTGTTAGAAAACAGTGTATTTGGTCATCTCATTTGGCCAGCAACTATAGTCTTCGTATCATAATATGTTTTCACCGGTAAAGATTTACAAAGGGTGGTCGGATGTTGATAGAAAGTAAGGTGATGATAAAGCCAATGTGGGTTTTTCTGCCAAGGGTTGTGCATGGTTTGATGTTACTACCACGGCTGTTCTTATTCTTCCTGTAACATCCAACTTTTTTATATTATTAAGGACAAAACAAATAATATCTTTTCTTTAAAAATATCAAATATAATTAAAATCATTTGTAAAAGAAACATTAATGATGTCATCTCATTAAAACTTTTAATGAAACAGCAGTGTTTCTAAAAACATTTCCTTAACAATTTAGGATAATAATTATCAGAGATGTCATCTCATTTAAACTTTTAACGAAATATTAGTGTTGCTAAAAAAACATTTCCTTAACAATTTCCAATAATTATTATCAGAGTTTATTCATTGGTAAATCTTGTCCTTCAATACTTAAAACCATATATAATGAAAACATCATTAATAACATCTCATTGAAGTCAAAGCCCAGGTTATATAAGCATAACGTCATAAATGAAATTAACTGAAAACTTTAAAAAACTTTAACTTTGCGTGTGAAAGCTCATAATAGTCCAGTCGTGTCCAAAAATGTTAATAAACAACAAGAAGCACAAAACTTAGTGAGTATTCATAATACTTACTCGTTATATCGATCATATGAAATACACATAACACAAAACACATATCATATATTATGTAATAATTCAGATATCACATATAATGTTGGTACCAACATCAACCGTACAGAAAACTGGTTTCCCGGACATTCCAATATAAGAACTAGTCGCTTCCCTCCGAGAGGCTTTTCGTGACTTGGTGTCACAACTAGATTCCTTCAAAAAGTCCTTTCTCAGTGTTGACCAATCCTTTGATGTATTTTATAGGTTATAAAAAAATTTATGTGGTGGAAAAACACTAAACCCTTAAGTTCACGTGCAACCTAGAAATGATCTATATTTTCTCTATTGATAGAAATAATCTATGGACATCAAGAAACCTTAGAGAGAGGCTATGAAAATGGATATTAACATAAAGATTAGGGTTACATACCTTTTGGTAATTATAGCAAATAGTCAAATCAAATCTTCTTGAAATTCCATGGAAAGCAGTCACCAAAAGGATGGTGCCTCTAATGGATCACACCCAAAACCAGAAACCCTAGAATTAGGAGGAGAGAGGAGATATGAAGTGAAATTTGTTCTTATGCCTTTAGGTAATGTGGTGGACAAAAATTACAAGCCAAGGGGTCCTATTTATAGTTTAGATAACTTTCAAGCAAAGTATTATTTGAATTAATTAAATAATAGATTTAATCATAATTCAAATCATTTCTTTTTATGCAACCAGTAACCTTCCAGAAACCCTAGGAAACCCTCCAAAATGGTCCATACCATGGAGGTTCTATAATTGCTTCTTTTGTTAAACTATTGAACAATTACAATTCAACCCTTGCATTTTCAGTTAATTCCAATTAATCCCGAATTAATTCCAGACTAATTCTTATTAATAATTAATCAATTCTAATTGATTTGACATTAATTTATTAATCATATAAATTTAACTAATAAATTATTTAACAATCGATCTCATATAAATTTATTAATCACATAATAAATTAAGAAATCAACTGTCTATTTCCATTAAAGATATTAATCACATAATATATTAACAAATCATTTTA